CTATCTCTAAGTGTAAAGCCACTCATCCACCTGAGCATCCTCATCTCTGTCACACTTAACTTAGTATTATGCTTCTCTTTTGATGGCCAACATTCGGCACCATAAAGCATTGCAGGCCTCACCATCTTATAGAATTTTCCCTTGAGCTTGAGGGGTACTTTTCTATCACACAACAAGCCTTATGCATTCCTCCACTTCAACCATCCAACATGAATTCTGCTGATAATATCCCCATCTATTTCACCATCACTCTAAACAATAAATCCAAGATATCTAAAACGTGTACTCTTATTACTAACTTGATCGCCCAAAGTCACAATCCCCTAATTAGGTCTATTACTACTAAAATTACACACAATATATTCCATTTTAGATCTACTCAAGCGAAAACCTTTAGACTCTAAGGTTGACCTCCATAATTCAAGTTTACCTTCAACTCCCTCTCTAGTCTTATCAATAAGAAGAACATCATTAACAAAAAGCATACACCAAGGTAGATCCTCTTGCAAATGTCTAGTGCAAACATCCATGACTAAAGCAAAAAGATATGGGCTTAAGGCTAATCCTTGATGTAACCCAACCAAAATAGGGAAATAATTGGTCAAACCACTTTGTGTTTGAACACAAGTAATAGCTCCTGCATACATATCTTTAATGATTTGAATATGAGCGTTATTAACTCCTTTCTTTTCAAGAACTCTCCATAGCACTTCCCTTGGAACTTTATCATATGCTTTTTCTAAATCAATAAATATCATATGTAGATCATCCTTATTTTCTTTATATTTTTCCAGCAAACCACTTAATAAATGTATGGCTTCCATAGTCGACCTACCCAGCATGAATCCAAATTGATTTTGAGAAACATAAGTATCACGTCGAACCCTATGTTCCATAACTCGTTCCCATAGTTTTAAAGTATGACACATTCACTTAATTCCTCTATAATTCACCCAATCTTGTGCATCACCTTTATTCTTAAAAATAAATATTAACACACTCATTCTCCACTCATATGACATCTTTTTAGTCTTCAAAATAGTATTAAAAAATTTAGTAAGCCAATAAATTCCTTCATCTCCTATGCATTTTCACACCTCTATTGGAATATCATCAGATCCAACAGCTTTTCTACCATTCATTTTCTTTAAACCCTCTCTAACTTCGATTTTACTAATACGCTGATAAAAATAGAAATTTTTATTTTCATTTAGGGTGCTAAGGTCACTACAATCAACCTTATTTTCATAGTCTTCATTAAATGTTTAGCAAAATATCTCATCCACCTTTGTTGAATATTATCTTCTAAAAAAAGTATTTTTTTATCTTCATCCTTAATATACTTCACTTGAACTAAATCCTTTCTACTCCTATCTCTTTGTTTGGTTAACCTATACATATATCTTTCACCCTCCTTAGTATCTAATCTATTATATAAATCACTAAAAGCTAAAGTCTTTGCATTGCATATTGCTTTTTTAGATTTCTTACGAGCCTCTATATATCTTTCCCAACTATCAGAATTTTTAAAATTAAAAAAAAAATTATAACAAATTTTCTAATTTTTAATCTTTTCTTGCACATTTGAATTCCACCACCAACTATTTTTACTATTAAGAGTTTTTCCCTTTGATACTCTAAGTATATCTTTTGCAATATTTTTAATATCACTAGTCATTTTTTCCCACATAACATTAGCATCCTCATGCACAGACAAAATCTTAAGATCTAAAATCTTACTCTCAAAAATATTTTTGTTAATATTCTTTAAATACCCCCATCTAATCCTAGAAAATCACTTTACTTTATTTTTTATGTTTTGTTCATTTATCTTAAAGTCCAAAACTAATAATAGATATTGGGTACATAAATTTTCACTCGAGATAACTTTATAATCTTTGCAATCTAAACGATCTAATTTTCTTATAAGAAAATAATCAATCTGAGTTGTACTATATCCATTTTTATAAGTGATGAGATGCTCATTCCTTTTCTTAAATAAGGAATTAACAATTAAAAAATCATAAGCTAAACAAAAATTTAATATGATCTTGCCGCCTTAATTTGTCATTCCAAACCACCAAGAATGCTTTTAAAGTCATCTACTTCTCTACCAACATGTCCATTTAAATCTATTCCAATAAAAACTCTTTCTTCAAGAGGTATCTTTTGTATTAATTCTTCTAAGTCATTCTAAAAATTTAATTTAGAACTCATATCCAAAACCTACTTGAGGAGCACAAGAATTTATAATATTAACAATCTTAACATCAACAACAATCTTAAAAGCTATAATTCTATCTCCAATCCTAGTAATTTTTATAATATTATCCTTCAAACTCTTATTTATAATAACACCTACACCATTTCTAGTATGACTCCTACCGGAATACCAAAGTTTAAATCCTAAACTATCAATTTCCTTAGCCTTCTCTCCAACCCATTTAGTTTCCTGAATGCACAAAATATTTAACTTTATATGAATCATAATATCTATTAATTCCATTAATTTTCATGTAAGGGAACATATATTCCAAGTTTCTATCTTAATTTTAGTTTCATGGACTAGTTTCTTTATTACATTCGTCCTTGATGTGGGAACCTTTGCCTATTTAACACTACACCCGGGCGCCGGTGCAGCAACCCTTGCACACCTGTTACTATATTTAGACCACACAGCGCGTCGCTTCTAGGAGACGCCCTAGCATTAACACAATTTCTTAAAGGATTCATGTCATTATTATTCGACAAGTTTTATGCTGTTTGTTGACTACCTAACACAACCCTCCACTTTTCTCATCCAGGACCTGGCAACGACAGTGTTCCACGATTCACAAATTAATGTGTAAAAAAAATTTGATGACAAACACAACAACTTGCCCATCAACAGATAGGTGAAATTAACCCAACTCACCTAATAATTAGTGTCAATTTGCAGAGGAATTGTAAATGCAACAAGTCTCCCTACAATCAATACCAATCGTCTTGGGGATGCATATGATAGTCCCTACGAACATAGAAACATGTGCAAGAGAATGGAGAAAGTCACCAATCAATATACATTAAGAAATTGACGATGAAGACAACAATTCGTCAGTCAACATGTATGAAAAGATAGGTGATAAATGCAGCTCGACCAGTAGATAACATAGGCTTGTAAACGAATATGTTAATATGCATGCAGGCAGCATAAATACAAAAGAGACACGACAAACACAAGCTTCTGCGAGCTGCTATAGAAGATTCATCATACATCAAAAATACCCCCCACATGTGTATTGCAATATGCATACAAACACAAATACAAGAAAATGCACAAGCAATCTACACGCATGGGCCTCGACGAGGGTGTTATAGGTACATATGTGACGTCTAAGGATATTGCGTGGGTATAGAAGGGAACTTAAATTCGAGCCCAGTCCTTATATGTTATTGGATAAGAGTCGACATGGCTCGAACCATTAAACAAATATACAGTTACGACATCGACCGGAATATTTTGCTTTATAGTTCATATTAAATATTCAAGGCCTATAATTAAGAAAAATTCAACATTAAAGACATAAAGTCGGCAACGAATCTGATCCTCTGTCAGCATCTAGACATAGTAGACAAGGTTCAATATATAATTATAAAAATACCCCCTAAATACCTACATAGGCCCCAGCGAGTGTGTTATGGGTACACGTGACGTCTGAAGATGTTGCACAGGTCAAAAAATAAACCTAAATTCAAGCCTGATCCTCCTACGCGAGCGGATAGGAGTCAACACGGCTCGAACCATCAAACAAATGTATGGTTATAGTGTTAACCAAGACATTTGTTTTATACGTTTATATTAGGCTTTCAAGATTTACAACAAAAAAAATCACTAACAAAGGCCTACAACCAACAATGAACCCGATAGAGCACAAAGCCCTCTATCAGCTAAGGTGGATTCAAATTTATCCCCTTAGACAAACATCCACCGCAGGTCTACAAGGTACCTTTGGACGACGCAACCCATGGTTGCCGACAAGGATCCTTCTATCAGGTTGAGTTGATTACCTCCTCTGACTAAATAGACCATGGACCACGATGGCCCGGGACAACCGAACCATGGGATCTTAATCGGATACATCATCCATTCTCCCACCATCCGCTTTAAGCGCAAGATGATAAAAATTTTAAATTTTAAATATCAAATTCTCAAATAGCAAAGCCATGGTGCTACTATATGTCAAATACAATGTATTTTAACTTATATGATTGACGAATAGCCTTAATTGAAAGTTTTCTCTCATTATCGGGAGGGGTAATTAACTATAGGGGCTTGCGCCTATAGAAAACCAGAACTCAGATTATAAAGTTCTCACAAAATGAGGGCAAAATCTCTGTGTAGTCTTATCTACAAACCAAATCTGCCTTCTGAAAATTTACTCGGAACTTAATTCGTTAAAACTCCTGAATTCCCGAAAGCATGGTAGGCGGGGGCGCGAATTTTTGGAGCCCACAATGAAATCTACAAAGACGACAATAGGGAGTAGGCATCAATTGAGCGAATCTATACAATATTATTCTATGTTTTTGTGAGTTTAATTTCTTTTCTATCTTATATTTTTCACTCTCTATTTTTTAGTAACTTTACCTTATTTCCTAGCATCTCCATCTCTCCCTAAGAAAAAAGTTGCCATAGTGCACTATCAGGATGGTGCCACTAAGGCAACTCCATCGCAATAGCTACTGTCTGACACTGAAGTGTACTTTTCATCTATGAAAAAAAAAAAATACTAACTTCTCAAGAACCAACCCAATTCCCCCCCCCATTCTCAATTCGCATCCCCCCCCCCCCCCCCACCCCAAAAAAAAAAAAAGATGCCAAAGAAAATTGTAGAGCATACTTTACTGTAACCAGCTCCAAAGAGTAAATATAGATCAGTTTCAAGTGAATGCATGAAATTTTTGAAAACAGTAGCAAGCTTAAGAACCATGTTAGCTTTTGAGATTGAAATGAAACTCACCCTTGACGTTGGCTGAATCCTACGGTTGGATCTACGGGGTTCCATCACTTCATGTAGTGGCTTTCCAGGATTTTTAGACCCTTTATCCTCGAGGGTGGATGTCCTATCCACAGAATTTTTTGATTTCACAGCAAAATCCGGCTCAGAAACTGAAGTTTTCTTTTTTTTGGATAAGGAAACATGCGCAGGCTGCACAGAATCCTCTGACGCTATAGTGGAAACATCATTTTTTTCATCTTGGCTTTGAAAATTGACTTTGTATGCATTCATCTTGTCTGAGCAATTGTTACTGCCCCCGAAACTGGATATATTATGAAGCACCTGAACGGTGCCTTCATTTGATGTGGAAAGCAATGCCTTGTCCTTCTCAGACAGACTTCTAGTTTGAAAGCTCCGAGAATTCTCAGCTTTAAAACCACCTCTAGGCTTGATGTCGACAGCCTTCTTTCCTTTATTATCAACTTTCAACGTATTCCTGGTTGGGCGAGATGCCTGAGGCATCAAATATTTTGCAAATTTGATGGAATCACTACCTTCGCTAATTTTCTCAGACTTGTTTGCAACATAATGCTTGCTAACTTCCATAAACTTTCTCTTCTTTCCAGGCCTTGGAACGCCAAAAACCACCTTCGATCCTTCTTTCTGCAAGCTAGTCTGTTTTGGTTTAAGTGCATCAGAAATAACCTCTTCTCTTGAATTCTTTCCGATGCTAAAGGTTCTATCCTTAGCAGATAAAACCAGCGATCTTGAATCATCAGGTTTCCTGGACTCTTCAATGAGAATATTCTTGGAAAGGTTACCCATCTCGGCAGCCTCAACTTCTGAATGAATTTTTCCTTCACGCTTGCCTAATCTTTGCCTTTTCTCCTGGGGAGTATCTCCCTGTGATAGCAACCACAATACATGATAGCTATTATGTCAAATAGCTGAGAAGCAAGCTAATGGCATAAACATGAGAGAGCATCAGATAAAATGTAGACCTCATGTGGTTTATTTGACTTTCCCTTTGCATGAGACCACTCCATCCATTGTCCATCCTCCCAAATACGTGATGGACGAAGATTCCAACTATGAACGGTCTCTTTATCAGTCCTAGCTGCAGGTAATGAGTGAAATGTTTATCATGCACTGAATACAAAAACATAAGCTTCATTACTAACAATAGAACAAGACTTTAACAGGTATAAAAATTCTACCCCTCCGACCATAAAACACTGGTTTTGATTTATAAAACAAACAGATTGTAAATCAACTTTGATAAACACAATAGTTTTCAGTATCACAATATTTAAAACTCCCATCCTATCTTTTATCAAAAAGGAGAGCACCCTCATGTGCATCGCATCACACATGTGGGTAATAGATGGATTCTGATAAGAACAATCGAAATTTGAATTTGATCCATATTCTATTTCGCTGGACCAAAAACCAACAAAGACCAACCCAAATTTAATTTTGCAGATGGATTGGATAGAATATTGAGCTAGAATTTATGTTTTATCTGATTAGAAAACCTGAGGATCTAAGATGAATAAAGAGATCAAAGGGAAACTAGTGAAGTATATGTCTCCAGATCAAGCCCAATATCAGACCAGGCTTTAAACTTAGACTAAATCTAAAGCTACTCGCAAATTAGGCTTGATATAGTATTTACTAAGCATTTTTCAATATTTTCCCTTCGATATTTATCCATAGATTAGGTTTTATCTATTATTTTGTCACTTGAGTAATTTTTATTTTTATTTGGACTTATAATAATCATGACTCATTATCTCTATAAATGAAGGTCAGTAAATTTAGATGACTTGAATTTTAATGAATGGCAATTTGGCTTTCCTTCCGCTCATTCTCTCCCTTCTCTCCTATTGCATTCCTCTCTTGCTATCTCTTCATATTCTTGATTTTCTCCCAAATATGGGAACCCTTATGATCCCCTCTCAATATTTGAGGCTTTTCACTTCTCATTGAAAATATATGATTTTTTTTTTCTGCACTCGTGACTGGATCTTCTGTAACTTTTATGTTCAACAAGAGTTAATTTTGATGGTAAACCCCTCCAACTTTTCACACTAGTCAATGGTTACAATCTGCTTGCTACTCTAAGTTGAGCCCCATTTTCAAATTAAGGTTTCTAAGATTACAGCCTCTACCAAATTTTGGTATCCATGCGTGATCCATCAATTAGCAGCAGGGACCATGATCTATTAAGATTGAGAGAGAAGAAGCTACTTGTTTGTCGTTATAGATTTTATTATTAAATCAATGAATAGACGATTCTCTAGAAGTAATCAACAGTTGAGAACTAGTTTGATATTAAAAGAAAATACCAATCAAACAAAATGATGCTCAACTTTATCAACACAGCTTCAAAATCAATAAGAATATTGTAAATAAATATGCGACTTCAAAAAAAAAAAAAAAAAAAAAAAAAATGTTAACTTCAGGCAACAAATAAATATGCAGCTTCAAAAACAATAAGAACATTGTTAAAAACTACAACAACATCAAACCTTTATCCCACTATGTGGGGTCGGGCTACATGAATCCTTTTTCTCTATTGTGTCCTATTAAAAGTTCAATTCTCATTTAAATCTACTAAAGAGAGGTCATTTTTAATATTTTCCAACCAAGTCTTTTTAGGTCTACCTCTACCTTTCTTAACATAAACATAAGTCAAATCTAATACATCTACTTTCCTAACCAGGTGTAACGGACCGGTTTGGGTGGCCAGTTCAACCGAATCGGCCAGCTCTCTTAATAAGGTCACGACCACAGAAGGGAGGGGGGCAGTTTTGCGAACAAAACAGACGGGCGGACAGAGCGAACAACCGAGCTCATGCAAAAGGGATTGGGGAAATTTCATTTCGCCATTTTTTAGTAATTGATCATGTTTAGGGATAAGAATCACCAACTCCTTTTCATTCTTATCGCTAAAGAAGTAAAGATTTGGAAGAAATCTCAGTGAACGAGAAGATCGACTGAGAGGAAAAAGGAAGAAGGTTTGTTGAGTTTTTTTCTTTTCATTTCGGTATAAATTTCCTTATTTTGCTTCCTCTAAAGTAAGTGATATTTTCATAAGGGAAAAAGAAGGTATTGAAAACGTGGAGAAAGAAATTGGGAGAGAAGGAATTGGACTTTGGAATTCCTTCTTAAGGAAAGGTAAGTGATTTAGTTTGAGGTCATATGTTTTCATTTTTTGTTTCTTTTATCGAATAAACAATAAGAAATATATTTTAATTTAGGTTGGAATAATCCAAGTAATATAGATTTTGATTTGACGGTGGAGGAAGGAAGAATTGCGATAAAGGAAAGGAAAATTTATGAGGTAAATTTTGCGGAAGGAAATCAAATGTTTATTGAGATATTTAATGAAAATTTTATATTTCTTTTATTATTATATTCTTGTAAACAGTTAAACATTTTCAATACTCGATAAATATTGGAAGAGGAAAATAAAGTGGGTATTTATTAATTTTTTACTTCATTTTTTATGTTTTATTTTGCAAGGAGCGTGTTAAATAATAGTTCTAAGACTTAAAAATTCTTTTAAAAATTATTATGTATAAAACAAACAAATGTATATGCAAGTGTATGAAATGTAAAAGAAAATGCACGTTGAAAGTTTACCTATAAAAGAAATAGAGAGTAATTATATTAAAGAAATGATACTGAAATGAATAAAAAATAAATGGAAAAAGGAAAAAGATAAGCATGCAAAATTTGTAGGAGTTCATCCCCGTATGGTACTAGCTGGGGAAGCAACATACCTATGCACATAAAAAAGAAAAGGAAATGGTTGTACCTTTGGTACATTTAGACGGTGCTTCTATACAAATTAAATGGTAAAATGAATACATATTAAAGTATTATAAATGTTATAAAGGAATATGATATGATATACATAAATGACGTAAAGAAATGGAATGTATACCAATTGCTAAATAAACAGACGTTTATTAAAAGTTATATGTATTGTACTTTATAGATGTTAATTATTATAGAAAGTTACATAGTAAACTCAACTCACTAAATTAATGTTTCAGGTAAATCTCCAGAATTAGAAATGGTCGGAAGGGAAGAGTTTTTGATATAGAACTACATCCACAGTTGGATGTCCTCATCAGTTTGTTTATAGAAGACGACACAATAAGAAGACAGCTCTTCAATTGAAATGAGAAAGTTGTACGTAGTATTGATTATGAATTGTACTGAATTAATTCTACAATCCGACTTTTAGTTCCCACCTTGTTAAGTCGAGCATCCGGGCCGGATCGTGACATCGGGTCATCAGAAGACTGTCGTTTTATGTGACCAAACCATCTAAGGCGACTCTATCTAACATTATCTTCCACTGGAGCTACTCCATCCTTTTCACGTATATGCTCATTCAGTATCCTATCTCTAAGAGTAAAATCACTCATCCACCTGAGCATCCTCATCCATGCAACACTTAACTTAATATTATGCTCTCTTTTAATGAATAACATTCTGCACCATAAAACATTGCAGGTCTAATCATCATCTTATAGAATTTTTCCTTAAGTTTGAAGGGGGCTTTTATATCAAACAACAGGCCAGAATATTGTAAAAAAACTATAAAAATATTTTTTTTTTAATTATGACCATGATTAGGGTACCAAATTTACTAATATTGATTCAATTTAATAGCAAATCTCTAAGAAATGCTTTATCATGACATCCAGTTTAAAAGTTAAAAATTAATATTAGCAAAAACCATTAACCAACTCAAAAATCATTTAAAAGTAAATGACAAGAATCATAAAAAAATTTAGATGCTCAAGCAAAAGGTAAGGACAAATAAATAGATGCAAAACCTGGAAAATGCACAGTTAGCTTCGTTTCATCGCCTGGAGTCTTTTCATTGATTGTCCCTTCCCACCATCTAAGAATTGAAAGTAAAAGATTAGATATAAAAGATTCAGACAAATTGAAGATCAAACATAACAAATTGATGCAAGACGTTTTAGGTTCTAGAATTTTTAAGCAACTAGAATAATGCAAAGACTATAAATCATATAAAAGAAATAAAGATTTAATTACATAATAATTCAATTTCTTTAAGAACAAACTCAAAAATGCAAGTATAACCAAAAAGATAATATAATGATCAATTAAACTAGAAGAAGTCCAAAGATAAATTAGAACTGAAAAATAAATTATTCTTTTTTTTTTCGCCACAACTAAAGGACAAAATATAACCAATTTGACAAAAATAGAAAATCTAATAATATGAATAATAATATATTTAGAAGAAGAGATTTAAGGAAAGCAATCATTAAATAAAAGACAGTCTAAACATCATGTCAAGATTCAATAGGAAATATTGTATCCAAGAAATTGTTTGTCACGCTTGCACCACACTCCCAAAAAAAGTCACATCTAATAGGCATGCACAAAATTGAAAAGTAGAAATCTGAAATTTTATTGATCAAATGCTATCCAATACCTGCCTAAGATTTTGCTTTATAATCATCTAATTTCCTCTAGATTGGCTACCTCAAAAAGATAATTTTATTCAAAATCCATGGCCATATAAATATCTCCGCACAATAATTACGCAAATGGAACTATAACCTTATGCAAAAAACCACATAAAAGTTACAGAAGTGGCGGCTATAGAACCCAATAAAAGATCAAAATAAGAATCCAGGTCCAGGAGTTAACAAGCAACAATAACAGAGGATATAAGATGCGACAGAACCCGCTCAAGCTTTTGCACCTCAAGATCAACACAGCACCAAACTCTGTAGCTATAAGAACCAATAGCAATTAACCCATAGTACTAAACAAACCAATCAATAATAGAACCAAGGGCAATCTTAATCAAATATTGAATTGAACCAAACAGAGGTTAACCCAACCAGAAACATCATAAAAGAAAATACATCCCGTTCTCATAGGCATCATCACAAAACATGTCCAGATAAAATAGAATTTAAAAACTACAAAATAAAATATATAACTGAAACTAATTAAACTTGAATTATCATTTAATTGCTTGACTTTTGACTAATATACACATGTAGATCTCCATCAAACATATCCGACTTCGACAAATTTAGCTCTGATGAATCTCTAGCATTTGATATTATCAAGTAAATAGGGGCATACATTTCATGCTTCCTGCAAAGTAATCTAGGAGTCATCACAAACAGGCACGTCATTCCAATGCACAAGGTATCTTTGGAATCCACAATCAGTAGTAGATACAATTTCATAATCTAAATAGCTTCAGGAACAACTTGTATAGATTTGTCAAGCAAATTTGGGATATTAATTCACAAAGAGATGAATGAGAGAATAACTTTAAGGAAGTAGTAGCAAGTTCATGAAATAAGTTCAAAACAGACACATTGAGAATAAGACTACTGCTAGAATCTTAAAAAAAAATTAAGCTATAACTAATGATTTCAAATCATCGCAAGATTATAAATGGCTCTGTTTTTCTCACAATTAATTTATTAAAAACTCTTAAAGAAGTCTTTTTAAATTCAAATGCAGCACTGCTTTCTTCTTTGACTTAAATTCCACATATCCCCGATTTACATAAACTGAAAGGTTACAATTGTCATAATTAATAACCCATGCTCTTCGACTATTTTCATGCACAACATATAATTCATGCAAATCAAGCAAATGAGTAGTATGATATGAAGCAACTAATGAAAATGTTATAACTAATATGCATTCTAAGAGATAATAATAAAGACTTACAACTAATTAAAATGATGAAAAAAAAACTCAAAAAAGTCAAAAAAGTCAAATAAAAAAATATCGCAAGCCTATGTGGACAGACCATTTTTAAAGCAAACTAATTCAAAAAGCTCAAATACTAATTGTAATGAATTATGCATCTTTCGAATGAATTAGATGAATGCAATTTTAAATTTTAGATTTCTATTAAGATTGTGTGCTAGAACATGTGGTAGTAAAGTGAGAGAGTTTGGCATCTAAACTTTGCATGAAGATCCAACACATATATACATAAAAAAATTATAAGATACAAATATATAAATTCAAAAAGCTCAAATACTAATTGTAATGAATTATGCATCTTTCGAATGAATTAGATGAATGCAATTTTAAATTTTAGATTTCTATTAAGATTGTGTGCTAGAACATGTGGTAGTAAAGTGAGAGAGTTTGGCATCTAAACTTTGCATGAAGATCCAACACATATATACATAAAAAAATTATAAGATACAAATATATATATATATATATATATATATATATATATATATATATATATATATAATATTATATATATATATATATAATATATATATATATATGTTTAATTGTTTATTCTTAAATGTTTCTGAAAACTTAAAATGAACATGCTATAACTTTTATTTGATGTTTTGTTTTCTTACATAAATAATAAAAAAATAAACAAATTACTCATGCATGCCTAGGCAACACTTCATAGCCAGTTTGTGACTATTTGCCCGATCTCACTTATGCGTGTTTGTGCTGTGCCCAATTTCGGGCATGTTCAAGTCTTTTTAAGCATTTTTGATGTCATCGAGATGCTATTTTTTGACGTTCGAAGTCCAACAGTTCCCTTACAACTAATTTTAAACAATTTTAAAAAAGTTTAGAGTAGTTTTATATAATTTTTACTCCTGTTAACATGCCAACTCATGTAAGACTAAATTTGCTTGGTTCACACTTCACAGCCCCGATGGGTGGTCTACATTGACATCCAAATAATAGTCACACTTTTTAATTTTTTTGAAATTACAACTTTACGCTGTTGTAAATTTTCAAGTCTCAAATGTATTTTTCAAATGACATTGATTTCAACGTAAAAAAATAGTGGACAAATGATTAGTCATCAGAAAAATTTATCAATAAAAAACATGATCTTTGAAGCAAGAAACTTCTCAAAGTTAGTACCATCAAGACAGATTGCCTATAAACTTCTATAATCTTACTTGCGTAGTGGATAATTTCAATTTAGCCAAGTCTCGTGATCTTTTCTTTTCTAGTTTATATATATATATATTGTATCCTTATATTTTTTTTATGTATATATGTTGGATCTTCATGCAAAGTTTAGATGCCAACTCTCTCACTTTACTACCACATGTTCTAGCACACACTCTTAATAGAAATCTAAAATTTAAAATTGCATTCATCTAATTCATTCGAAAGATGCATAATTCATTACAATTAGTATTTGAGCTTTTTGAATTAGTTTGCTTAAAAATGGTCTGTCCACATTAGGCTTGCGATATTTTTTTTATTTGACTTTTTTGATTTTTTTTTCATCATTTAATTAGTTGTAAGTCTTTATTATTATCCTTAGAATGCATATTAGTTATAACATTTTCATTAGTTGCTTCATATCATACTACTCATTTGCTTGATTTGCATGAATTATATGTTGTGCATGAAAATAGTCGCAGAGCATGGGTTATTAATTATGACAATTGTAACCTTTCAGTTTATGTAAATCGGGGAATGTGGAATTTAAGTCAAAGAATAAAGCAGTGCTGCGCATTTGAATTTTAAAAAGACTTCTTTAAGATTTTTAATAAATTAATTGTGAAAAAACAGAGCCATTTATAATCTTGCGATGATTTGAAATCATTAGTTATAGCTTATTTTTTTTTAAGATTCTAGCAAGTCTTATTCTCAATGTGTCTGTTTTTGAACTTATTTCATGAACTTCTACTACTTCCTTAAAGTTATTTCTCATTCATCTCTTTGTGAATTAATATCCCAAATTTGCTTGACCAAATCTATACAAGTTGTTCCTGAAGCTATTTAGATTATGAAATTGTATCTACTACTGATTGTGGATTCCAAAAGATACCTTGTGCATTGGAAATGACGTGCCTGTTTGTGATGACTCCTAGATTACTTGCAGGAAGCATAAAAGTATGCCCCTATTTTACTTGATAATATCAAATGCTAGAGATTCATCAGAGCTAAATTTGTCGAAGTCGATATTTTGATGGAGATCTACATGTGTATATTAGTCAAAAGTCAAGCAATTAAATGAAATTCAAGTTTAAATTAGTTTCAATTATATATTTTATTTTGTAGTTTTTAAATTCTATTTTATCTGGACATGTTTTTATGATGCCTATGAGAACGGATGTATTTCTTTTATGATGTTTCTGGTTGGGTTAACCTCTGTTGTTCAATCAATATTTGATTAAGATTGCCCTTGTTCTATTATTGATTGGTTTGTTTTAGTACTATGGGTTAATGCTATTTTCTTATAGCTACAGAGTTGTGTGCTGTGTTGATCTTGAGGTGCAAAAGCTTGAGCGGTTCTTGTCGCATCTTTATATCCTCTGTTATTGTTGCTTGTTAACTCCTGGACCTGGATTCTTATTTTTGATCTTTTATTGGTTCTATAGCCGCCACTTCTGTAACTTTTATGTGGTTTTTTGCATAAGGTATAGTTCCATTTGCGTAATTATTGTGCGGAGATATTTATATGGCCATGGATTTTGAAAAAATTATCTTTTGAGGTAGCCAATCTAGAGAAATTAGATGATTATAAAGCAAAATCTTAGGCAGGTATTGATAGCATTGATCAATAAAATTTCAGATTTCTACTTTTCAATTTTGTGCATGCCTATTAGATGGGACTTTTTTTCGGAGTGTGGTGCAAGCGTGACAAACAATTTCTTGGATACAATATTTCCTATTGAATCTTGACATGATGTTTAGACTGTCTTTTATTTAATGATTGCTTTCCTTAATCTCTTCTTCTAAATATATTATTATTCATATTATTAGATTTTCTATTTTGTCAAATTGGTTATATTTTGTCCTTTAGTTGTGGCGAAAAAAAAAAAATAATTTATTTTTCAGTTCTAATTTATCTTTGGACTTCTTCTAGTTTAATTGATCATTATA